AAGACACAGAAACAGCAATTTTGGAGCTTGCCAAGATAACTAACCTAACCTAACCCAACCTAACCAAACCCAACCCAACCTAACCAAACCTAACCCAACCCAACCTAACCTAACCTAACCAAACCTAACCTAACCTGTGCAACGCGTCCAGTAACCTCATCACACAACAATGGAACACAGAGACAGATGCTCCACACGTACAGCAAAAAACTCAATGGGTTTTTCGGGAGTAAATTTGATTCAGATAACAACAGTGCTTCATGGGGTCAGTACATAGCTCTTGGCAGGTCTTCTGGTTATTTAGAGTTTGTTGTCCGAATGTAGTGGTGTAGTGTAGATGATGGTGTAGTGGTGTAGTGTAGATGATGGTGTAGTGGATGTAGTGTAGAGGATGTAGTGTAGAGGATGGTAGTGTAGTGGGTGTAGTGTAGAGGATGGTGTAGTGGATGTAGTGTAGATGATGGTGTAGTGGATGTAGTGTAGATGATGGTGTAGTGGATGTAGTGTAGATGATGGTGTAGTGGTGTAGTGTAGATGATGGTGTAGTGGATGTAGTGTAGATGATGGTGTAGTGGTGTAGTGTAGATGATGGTGTAGTGGATATAGTGTAGATATTGGTGTAGTGGGTGTAGTGTAGAGGATGGTGTAGTGGGTGTAGTGTAGATGATGGTGTAGTGGATGTAGTGTAGATGATGGTGTAGTGGATGTAGTGTAGATGATGGTGTAGTGGATGTAGTGTAGAGGATATAGTGTAGATTGTGAAGCAGATATAATGCGTGTGTGTGTGTATGCGTGTGTGTGTGTGTGTGTGTGTGTGTCCAGGAATAACGTATAAAAAAGAAATATCTATGAAACCTTACCAGCAAAAAAATAAATATATAAACATTATAAAATTCTATTCCCCTAAAAAATATCTTTGTATGTCATATAAACTACATGAATTAAATTATCACTTTGTTTACCTTAGCCCAGGTATAATTAAATTAACTTGGCTCTACCTGTGTTAAAAATGTCTTGTAATGCACCTCACTGATTTTGTTTTGGTGTGTGAGTTTTTTATACGGTTTAATTAAAATATCAAAATCATGAGAACAAAACACTCCAACTGACACTACAGGTACAGTGTCACTACCTGGGTGAGATGAAATGATTAAATACAGTGAAACCTCTATTTAGCGGATTATATAGAGATAAAAGTCCGTTATATCGAAAGTCCGTTAGATGTGAAATCCCCCATCTAACGGATTATATAGAGATAAAAGTCCGTTATATCGAAAGTCCGTTAGATGTGAAATCCCCCATCTAACGGATTATATAGAGATGAAAGTCCGTTATATCGAGGGTCCTTTACTTGTGAAATCACTATATAACGGATTATATATAGAGATAGAAGTCCGCTATATGGAGGTTTCACTGTAAAATGTAAACTGATTCTGTTGTTGTAAATTAATATCAAATTTTTTATACGTAATATTACACTTGACTAAACTCATGGGCGTTACCTTTGATGATAACTATTATTATTATTATTATTATTATTTTGTCTGATATTTCGCAAGTTTGATACAATTAACACAGTGAACTCTGACTGTCTGACGAGATCATATCAGAAAATTTTGACAAACTAAAGTGAAAATTAAATTAGTGTACAATAGTAATATTTTAAGAAATTAAAATATATATAAATCCCCCCGCCCCCCCCAAAAAAAAACTTAAAAGGGTCGCTATGTATCGATTTATAGTAGTAATGTCGAATACATAAGGTGGCGTTACGGGTCATTACATAACATCGCTGGTTCAGTGGAAGGAGATATTAACTCCTTACCACTTTTCTTGATATTTAAATAAGAATATTTTTATTTTCTGTTTAGAAATTGTTTTTTTTTCGATTAGGGGCCACAACTATTACTGTTGTTGTTATTATTATTATTGTAATTTACTTTTTATATTAGTTTATTTCCTTATTTTGATTTCTAATATATATATATATATATATATATATATATATATATATATATATATATATATATATATATATATATTTATATATATATATTTATATCACTCTTCTCTCCGATATAAAAGTCATTAACGTTGTTAATATCGTCCATGGTGGTGTGTTAAGCCGGGGCGAGGCGTGACGTCACCCAACACCTGGACACCGAGATTGGGTGACAATTAAAATGACTGTGACCCGCACCACCAATTATTATTTGTACCGTAGTTTAATATTTTCAAACGATCAAACCCGCACACCCTACCTGTGATGCTGACCACTGAGTGTGTGCGCTCTCTCTCTCTCTCTCTCTCTCTCTCTCCACCACCACCACCACCACCACTACTACCATCACCCCGATCACCACCACCACTACTACCATCACCCCGATCACCACCAACACCACCACTACCCCACTGCGTCACCACCGCCAACCTTCACCATCTCATAATCAACATCACTGACTCTTATCCAACCTTCCTCGTGTATCGTATTTCCCCCCGC